CACGTGACTTATCAAAAGTTAGTACTATACATTTTAAATTTCGTTATGGAATTGCTGCGGAATGAATGCACTTTGTCTAGTACTGCAGGTTCTTAACAAAATGTTGTTTGCATCGATTAAGATTGTCTTCGCAGGCAGTGTGTAGACGCCTTAATTTATGAGTGCATTATCGAGGACCGTTTAAGGTCAGTCGTTAAGATATTTCTATGTCATACGAGTGTGTCTAGTTTTGATAACAATCATGCTATCGTAGTTTAGATGATAAGCCGTGAGTTTCTGAGACTAAAATCCCCGTTTAAAACATATTATTTCTGTTTTGTCAAAGATAATGAAAGAAATGTCAATATTTGTGTTGCAGAGATTTTGGTCTCAGAAACTTACGGTTAAACCTACTTTTATTAACTTGACCTTTTATTTATTTCAACTGTGTAAACCATCCTATAATTTTCATTTTCTGACAAGGGTAGGTGTAGATTGTATTTACGTAAAATGGCCTTTATTTTTCACCACACTAAAAGTCCTCGGAAGTTTAGTTACCTAAATAATTTGATAAGGTCAACGAACTTTAATTTAGAAGCTTTAGCATTAAACGAACCAATTGCACGCGCAATATTTTATCCACATCGCTGTTCCCAAATTCATTATGAACTATAAAACAATAATGAATAAGATTTTCATTAAAATCTCACAAATAAAAAAAAATTGCTGGCACAAATATGACTTCTTTAAACAATTATTTAGAAAAATAATATAATACCATAAGGTTCGCCACCCCTTAGTGTGACTTATAACCTTAAAAAAAATTAACTTTACTACAGGTGACACGTTTAATGCCACTTGTCCTGCGGATTCGATTTATAAACGTAGTAGCATTGAAAGTGTTAATAAATTAATTTTATAATAGTATTGTTACGTAAAGATATGTAGAAGAGAACTATTATCACACAATGGCCTCTATTAAGCACGTTCAATGTAAAACAAACACTAGATAACCACGACAGGACAGATGTCATGAGTAACAGCTCGCTCATTATAAATCTGTCGTCCTTTATATTTATATATTGCATTTCATATTTTTTACAGCCAGTACGATGACTTTATAGGATACTATGGAGTTATTTGTACTAGTTGTAACTCAGGCTATCGATTCCAGCGTCTATCCTATGTGACTATACTATCATTAAAAAAAAAGTTATTGGTGGCGATGGTCTCGACCCACAAACACACGACTAAAGGAAATGAACTCATGCGTGTTGTTGATGTCCTGGTAGTTGCATTTTTTTCTTAACCATGAAAACGACACATCACTGAACCGCTTTTGATCAGTCAAAAGTCTTTGATTACGTTGTGGCAATAGTAAATATTAGAAAAATTAAAATTAAAATTATAAAATGGAATGAAAAAAAAATTAGGTTATTAAAACGATGGAACAACGATAATTCTAACAATATTCAATAGATTATTTTTATAACAACATAAATAACACATAAAGTAACGTCCGTTAATATTTATTTATGCGAATAAACAAAAAGTTGAATTCACATATACATTTTATAGTACCATTTCCAAACAGCGAAGAACCGCGTAAACCAGAATTTTTTATTTTTGCATTAAAAACTTTTAATAAAATGTAATTTAACCAAATACCTACATTAAAAATATTAAAAAAAACGTTCTTTTTTTAAATTTAAAAACAATATTCCAGAACAGATTAGCGTTAATTAGACAAATAAAATAACTCACCGGTGGTATTACTTTTCTCGTGTGATCCAAATGCATCCCACCTACTTCCACAACGCCGGGCACTGTTAGTCTCACACCGTTCAGAGCATGGAATGTATTCACCATCATCAAAGAATAATTCTTTCCTAGCTCATACAAATCCGGTATCTTCATACCGAATCGTTTCTCAATTAATTCCCTTTCCTTCACTTGTATCGAATAGTAAAACCAGAAATTATGATACAGCTGAATAAATGTATTCTCCAGTTTTTCCGCAAATGTCATACGAGACGTAAATGGTGTACTGAGTACAGGCACGAACGCTGGGTTGTCCAATACACCGATCCTGTTTCCAGACCATGGTAGTATATTACACGATAATAATGCAACAACGGGCGCCCTTATACCATAAACATGGAGTAAACCAAGCATACAATCACTGTTGAAATTCTCCACTAATACCACGTCGTAATCACCTTTCAACGCTTCAATTAGAGGAGGCCAATCAAGTGCTTTGCCACACACATTCAGAGCCATTCCTGCTAGTGGATGAAACTCCATTAACTGCTTCGCGATCCTTTTCACAATCGGTATTTTGAGTAATAAATTAGGCGATTCGTATATCGATAGATCAAAAGTTTCAAGACCTAGGCCGGCGATGCCTTCTAAGCTGACATCTGTGTAATTTGCGGGTGGATTTTTGAGCGGGAAAAACGACACGGTAGTTACATGATGACCTCTCTCTGCTAACGTACGAAGTAAAGGTTCGAAGACCATTTGATGACTTTTGCCCGTGTGAGGGAACAATCCGAGGATTCTGGCGGCATTAGCGTCCGTTATTATGATCGCAGCGATCGCGAGTAAAAGACGGGTACACATCGCGCAAGTTTCTCGCACCGTGTCGCAGGGAGAACTGTCGTCCACTCGTCCACCGTTGTAACTGCACTGCCGCGTTAACAAATGCTATTTTCATTTTCAGTCTTTCACACGACGCTCCTTCGTGATACCATAATGAGAACGTGGAACAATACGAGTGCCCATTAAGTTAAATACTTCCTTCTAAGTATCGGCTATCGACAGATAATTGCGTTGCATTAGACATGAGACTTGAGCGTCCACTACCAAAACAACGGTACAAAGACATAATGCCATCCTTTTTACTCTCTTTGGAAAAAAAGAGATAACAATATGTTGTACAGGTTTGGAATCTCATGATAAAAGAAACATTTTGAATTAAAAAACCAATCGTTTAAGGCTCTTATTTTTATCATTACTTACTAAAACTTTCACTTGAAATATAAATCAAGCTGAGGCCATTCGGATAAAAGAAAAAATAAGCATAAAGATTCAGCACCGAAATATTCATAAAAAATATAATTTTCTTTCAAAACCAGATATAACAATACATTAAAGTACATATAAAACAACAGTGGTAATTCACAAATACTGAGTACATATAGTTTACATACAAAAGAGATACTTCGATCATTGCTCCAATTTACTAGTCCTCGTGTGATCTCGGGTCGAGAGATCAGGTTCAATCAATTGGAAAATTATGGCCATCATAGTACACCCTATTTGGTTTCAATTCAACATCTGCAATTTCTCGTGACTTCACTCGCGTGGAATGAAACAACACGTTTATATTTCGTTGCAGAATTGTTAAGTAATATTTTGACCAACAAAAACTCTATCGCACGGGAATCGTAATTTTTTTTCCAGAATATGTCCTTTACGCTATTACAAACTGTAATACATCTATGTTCCAAAATCTATGTTAAAAACGTTAAATACATAATCATGTTACCCAGTTTTAAAGATGATTGTATTGCGTTGTATTACTTAAATACCAATGAGTAAATTGTTTATATGTTTTTTTTATTGTCGAATTCACAGAAAGCTAATGTTTCTTGATTGTTTGTTTTGTGTGAATACAAATATGTTGGTTATATTCCATCTGTTTTACACTAACGGATTAATTGACTACGAAGACGAATATGGTATTTGATTTGTAGTGGCATTCTTTGTTACACTTTAGAATTACTGAATTTATATTTAAAAAAAAAATGGAGAAATTTAAACTTTAAAAAAGGAACCCAAAACGTTCGATCCGTTTTTTGTTCATTAAGTGAGACTTATTCGTATGCCAGCTATAAAAATTGTAAACAAAGCAAGTCAATGTGTAAGCAATAAACGGTTTATCAACTATTTTTATCATCAATGTTGGTTGCATTTCGAAATTGGAACGTTAACGCCCGTCAGTTATTACACCTAAGTACTTATTGTTACAGAACATCGGTTGCGATATTAAGAAAAGTTTCCTGTGATTATGAACGTCAATAGTATAACTTGGTTAATGAAATTGTCTATACTGTTTCAAAGTAGGTATAGATAATAATACACCTTAATAACTCTGATACTACTTTTTAACTTACTAAGTAACGAATTCAGAAAAAAATGTTTCTTTTTAATTACCTATAATTTCAGACTAGCAGTAATTACTCGCGATTATAAACTTACTCGTTGATTTGATTTCGTCTTTAGATAACTGAGTTTCAAAAGACTAAAACTCAAGTTACGTAGCTCAGAAAAGCTTTTTATGAAGATCTCAAACCATATACAATGTTGAAATGATTTCAGAAGTCGGCCATTGAAATTTTTTTGTCCTTGACTTTTAGATAACAGCTTGTGATTCGCACCAAAAGATGGCGGTGTTTGAAATTGCATCGGAATGTTAACTTGCAACTCGCGGTGATACAATGACTTTACATGACTTCGTTCTGCCAGACTATATTCTGCATTTATGTAAAATTTCATCGAGATCTGTTCTAAAGATACCTTCTAACAAAAAAACAAAACCATCCAAACATTAGTAAGACTAGCTGTCGCCTGTGCAGAATAAAAACAAAATACTTAATTTGTGTCCTGCCTTGCAGACTATGTTCTATATCTAACACACGTTTTATTCTTAGAGGCACAAAGAGGAAAGATTCAAATTTCGTCTGGTTTGCTATCAATATTTTGTATTATGTTCGTTTGGCGATTCTGGCATGATTGGCTTTTTGTAAACCATAGTTTTCTTTTATTTAACATTTCAGGTTTGTTAGTATCTTCGAAACCTGGTGATTTTATCATTATTGCTTAACACTCAAACAATCATAGACCTTCATACACAGGCAAAAAACATAGACAATTTAACAGGTTATCCATATACTTAAAATATCTAGATAAACAATAACACATATTAAAGAGATATATTAGGTTGAAGAAAAAGCATAAATGTTAAGAGTATTTATTATTAAAATAATTAACAATGACAAATTTCCAACAGAGTTAGAAAATGTTAAAATTGTTCTCAACTTTTGGGTACTTACAGAAAACTACTAATAAATTAGGACTTAAAAATGCATTTTTTAATACTCTCACAAATCAAGCTGCTATCAGCACCACAATCATACTGAAATAAAAATAGAAATATTAGTTACAATTCACTTATATTTAAACCTTAAAAAAATTATAAGTTAATTAAGTATTTTATCCTCTTTTCTTTCCCACCCTTTTTGTATAAGAACCATATTAGAAGGCGAAGTAGATTTGATAGAAGACGAAATGCATAAGGAGAAATATCACCTCTATTGATTAAAGGTGAGCAATGGATCTGCAATACAGTTGTCTTTGGGTAAGAGTCTATATTTCAGCAAATTCAGGTTGCAACTTGCACATTTGCTGCCTTATAGTATAAAAAAAATACTCACCCATACAAATAGAAAAAGAATGATAGAAGATAAAAAGCAAGTTTTATCCAGCCTTCTCTTTGACATATGGTCAGCACATCTGCATTCATTATACTTGTAGGATCATACAGACCAGGCCCAGACATTACTGGCCTTGTTCTATATCTAAAAATTAAAAATAATTACAAGTCACCAACAGTCTAAACTGGCTATAATTAAATTACAAGGTGCATTATTTATTTCTAATCTCCGGTTAATTACTAAAAGCCTGCAGTGTTGTGAAAAGTTTTAAGGTGAAGAGCATAAAACATTTTTCATTGTTTTAAAAACTTTTAGACTAAATAAATAAATTACGAATGTATTTTTTACACCCGTAACGTACGTCACTTGTGCATGGTCTTATTTCTAGTTATAATACTATCGATGACTTAATTAAATAGAAATGATTTATTCTTACATCAAATTAACATAACCTAACTCACCTGTGAATGTGATAAAGAATTAATGGTACATTGAGAAATAATGAAAACCATTCTCCCGAAAGTAAGAACAATAAGTTAATTAACAGATGTAATAAATATTCAGGTAGCACCAACTGGAAAAGTACAATTTAAAGATTATTATATTTGTTACTATGCCGCCATAAAAATGTCGAGATTTTCATCAACTATACTCACGGGATTGAGGCTATTACACTGGTCTATTGGATTCTTATAGTCAGTTTTTAATTCATCGAATGCTATAACGTGAAATATAGAGAAAAATATAAGAAAAGCGTCGACAATTAACGCTATAATATAAGAAAACGCTGGAAAACTAAACGCCATTTTGACAAAAACAAATCTGACAGTGAAATGCAAAGAGTATAATAAGTATACTATAGAAAGAGGGGCAACTCGCACAAAGTCGTGGATCCACGGCGATTGTGGCGCTCCATGCGTATAATCGCTGAACTAATTTTTTTTTTTTTGGTACCTATATACGTAGGCACGCTTATTTAGCTCACTATAATAATAACTAATAAGTGGGAATCTAATAAAGTTAAAATTGACATTAAATCAATGTTCAAAAATAATATACCCACTTATGTAGTTATTAATATAGTGAGCCGATATCAAGTAGCCTTCTATGAAATACCTCTATTAAAATGATTCTATTATTATTGGGGAAATAAAAACAAAATATTTTTATATTTTTGTACATTATTTATTATATTTCTACATAACTTAATTTTAAACCTATGCAAGTACATATACATCAATGACTATCTCTTGATATCAGCTCAATATTTTAATTTTTAATACATATATTTGAAAATTACATTTACGGTAATAAATAGTATAGCGCGGTCACAAAAGAATGCATACCCTGTAATTAAAACCAAACCCCAAAATATTTTCAGTCACATGCAAGCTGGCAACTGGCAATTTGTAGTTATTTGCGAGTTTAAACAGTCTGAACATATTCTCTTACAACATAGGCAAGCAGATTTTTCTTTACAATAAAAAATTACAAATAAAAAAATATATTTTTTACATATACACACATGGACCCACCTACTAATTTCAGACACATCAGTTTATGGCTCTATAATTCCAGTGATTGGCACACATTTTCTGAACTTCACTGACCTTCTCTCAGGAAGGGGGAAACCGTGTATATGTGCACCTACAACAAACAAACAGAATGTGATATCCTGTCAAGTATAGGAACTGATATGTAAAATGTATTAGAAGTAGGGCACCATTCAATATGATAACCGGAAAGTATAAATCACTGTGGTGCTAAAAACTACACCAAAATACGAAAATATTTAAATGTTTAAATGAGTATGACGTATGGGAATAACATGAAAATTTTTATTGAATTGTAACTTACCATAATCAGTCCATCTAAAACACAGTTGCATACAGCGTCGTTTTTCACGAAAACACATTTTAATTAAAAACAAAATGAATGAAACAACATTTAACTAAGAATACAAGAACAGAAATAGAAATACGAAAAAACGTAGCGGTTTGATGACACATGAATGTGACAGAAATGATGCTTCTTCTCAGCCATGAGATGAAATGATGTTTACCATTATATAAAAGGTGGCGCCACTTTCCATACAAACCATCCTTCTTCTAAGTTTCCACCCCCTGGTGAAATGAAATAGTCAAAAAATATGCAAAAGTGACATGACTGTCAACTGTCATCACATTCATCATAGATTGTGTGACAATTTCACGTGCTTTTCGTCCACCCAGTCCACTGAGCAAAAGTAAAAATAAAGTACTTTTAATGATAAGAGACGATTGATTGCAATAATAAGCCGATTCAATTTAATTCTATAAATATGAACATGTGTTGAATCGTTTTCCAAAAAACACGAATTTTTAATTCTGGGGTGAAACGAATAGATTTTTTTTTGTGGTACAAATGATTGAAGCTCTAGACAAATTATATGTTTTAAATTTGATTAAACTTGAACATAATTATGTATTTATTGTAAAGTAAAATTGAACATTAAAATTATTCTCTTAATTTAATTCTTACCTTAAAAGAATTACGTTGGCTGAAACTTTACTGTCACAACAACTTAGAAATGACAAATAAAATTCATCCAAGTCATATGAAGTCTTGATGTATAACTCTACCAAATTAAAAAGTTCCAATTAAGTTAAGTGTTCAAATTTATTTGGAACATTTGTAAAATATTTATGTTAAAATAATTTCTAGGATTTTGGTGTAAATTACAACTATTATGTTACTTTGGCTTTATATAAGGATTTATGGGTTAATTAATGGATAATTGTTAACTGTTATGTAAAAAATATCTTCAAAATAATCGAAAGAAGTGTTTATTACCTTAGATAACAATGAAAAGTGTGTGGTTTGTAGTTTTAAGTGCATTAGCAGTGGGTAACTGTATAGAACATGATTTTAAAGGGTTTGATGATAGTATACTATTTAGTATCAATTGGCCTGGAGCAAATGATGGGCTAGATGAAACAATTGATAAGACTAATAAGCCTAAGGTGAGTTATTTTGTTGTCTATATTGTTATTTAAGTACTTTGAATACTTCTTTTTGGATTTTTTTTTATCATTTATTCGATTTTTGTGCATTTTCAGCCAAAGGAAATAATTCAGGTGATGACATCACAAAAAGAGAAATATGAATGTCATTTGCCAGAAGTTCAATCTAATGAGGCGATGGATATAGCTGAGTATGATGGGCCTTCACCAATAAGCTTATTAAATCCACTATTTACACAAAAAGTATGTTCATACAGATTGGATAGTTACTGGAGTTATGAAATATGCCATGGCAGGTACATCAAGCAGTATCATGAAGAAAGAGATGGTAAAAATTTAATTAAATTAAACATATCATTAACTAGCTGTACCTGTGTGAAATACTGTGTTTGAACTGTACATGGTACTGGACAGTACTTGGACATTGCAACATCACTCTATTTTTTTAAAGTAAAAGAATTGTTGTAAAAAACATAGCTAAAGTTCCATCTTATTACATCATACCAATAAAGTCATGTCAAAATGGGTCCAGTTATTTCAGAGATTAGCGGGAACAAATAGACAGACAGACCAAAATTAAAAAAAATGTTATTTTGGTGTATGTACTGTATATATATTCATATACATGTTGTAAAAAATGGTTATTTATATATTACAGACACTCCAATTTTACTTATATGTATAGATATAAATTATAGCAAGGCAATCAAGCAATAATTTTAAGCAATCTGTTGCTTTTTTGCTCTTCTATAAAAAAAAACTTTCCTCCTTATAACATGAGTATAGATTTGGCCGTATTTTTTGAGGCATAGATATATGGGTTGCTCAGCTACAGTATATATAACATTATACATGTATTATATACTTGATTAAAGCCTAATCAAGTCTAGTTTCCTTTATTCTTCATACATATTTTCAGGGAAACAGGTGAAGACTCAAGAATTCTATCTTGGTATGTGGAATTTAGAGAACCAAATGAAATTGATGGCAGATTTGAAAACGGCAAAAGAGACTAAAGTACCACTAAAAACGACGAAAGTTGAACGAATGGATTTACCTTGTGTCGAACTTGTAATGGATGGAGGTAATCTTGTTAACAAAACCATAAAAGTCATGATTATTTTATTTTCATAATAAATTAAACAAAATTGCTTTCACTTGACTCCAGTCTTCTGTTTGGTTGTGGTATGTTATTGCTGGTATCTATCACTGTTGTAAGTAAATGCCTTATATCATCATAATCATCAGCTCACTATGGGTCCCCACTGAGGGGCTCGGAGCCTACTCTAAGTCGGGGGTGATTACACCATAGTCAGCCACACTGGCCCATTACACGTTGTTTGACTTCACACATATCTTTGAATTTCGTCTCAGATATGTGCAGGTTGCATTACGATGTTTTCCTTCACCGTAAAAACTTTGGATAAATGTACATATGTAAATCGGAAATCAAAAAACACATTGGTACATGGCGGGATTCAAACTCAGGACCTGCAGATTGCAAGTCAAGTGCTTTACCCCTGAGCCACGGACTTATGGCTTCATAATTTACAACATTGTTTATGATTTCAGGTACAATATGTGATCTTAATGATAAACCTCGTGTTACTAGAGTTTTATATGTCTGCTACAGCCATGGAAAGCACGAAGTTTACTCTTTCAAAGAGACAGCTACATGTGAATATGAAATTATAATCTTATCCCCACTCCTCTGTGAACATCCTCAATTTAAACCAAAAGATGTCAGTGAGAATGAAATCAGCTGTTATCCGCTTATGGGAGCACCCAAGAAACCAGGAAGATTGATGAAAATGGAATTTGAGGATATGAAATTCCGTTATGACACTCTGAAGATATCTAATAAAGTGAGTATTTTGTGTAATTTAGTGCCATTTAAGAATTTTTGTGTAGATTTGTTTTTCTAAAGTACTTTTGAGTGCATGAAATCTTTTGATTATTTATGTAGTGTTAATGCATTTTAAATTATTTTATTTTATAAAAGTGTTTTCAGAAAGCAATAATTATTTTTTTAATAGTGAAAATATTGTAGTCAAGGTAAATTTTGATAACGTATTTTTACGCAGTTTTTTAAAGGAGAATGAATTGAAAAGTCTAATTTGATTTTTAAAGTTTTTTTTATAATTGTAGTATGCAGTTTTTCAATGTTTGTTACTATATATTAATAATAGCATGAAAACTGTAGTTTTAATGATTTGATTATATTTGTGGTATAGCAAGTTTTAAAAAAGAATGTAGGAGTCAATAACCTCAATCTGTCAAAAGGACAGACTAACAAAAAATCTTTTAAAATGTTTTGGATTTTTTTTATACTTTTTTTGATGCTATTAAATAGAGTATAATTACTGTTAGTTTGTTGTTTCTAGATTTATTTGTGTTTTTTATTCTTGTGTATTTTTGTAGTATGTAGTTGCTTAAATAATATTCCTATTGGCATATTCAGGATAAGGATCCTAAGGATGTCGTTGCTGTTTTGAAAGTTGAGCAAATTGATAAGGTAATTTTTGGTGCATGGATTTTTTTATATAATTTATATGTGTTAACAATTGAATCTGGGGTTGGTGTTGTTAAGTAAATAACGAAATAGTATATGTGATGAGTACATCTTTCTGCCTAGTTCGAAACTCCAAAAAGTTCTTATAAGATTCTGATTCGTGGTAAAACTACAAGAATATATTACTTATTTATCTTCTTCATAATTCTATCTAGTTGACCATCTGCACCACCAAGTTATTTTTGACATAACTTAAATTTTTCATGTTAATTTCTGATTTTGAAGACTGTACATTGGTCTGTCAATTTCTGGAGGGCTTGTGTAATGGAATTCAATTAAAGCGCGCAAAAACCCTGTGTGTACTTATTGTTATAATGCCCTAGGATGGTGAGACTCATCTCAAATTTGAGTTGCATCCGCTGAATGAAGATGAGATCACAAGCGAAGGGAAGGTGAATCACGTGACGCACACACCGGCGCCGGACAGACTCCTGCCGACTGTGATGGACGACTCCCCCGTTAGAGCCTTCCTTAACGGCGAGAATTGCTTGATCGGAGTAAGTTGTGTTCTATATGTTGCTCAGTCCTGAATTTAGTGTTAACATAGTTCGTACTGTATTCGAAAATGACTAACGTTCTAAAAAATAGATTTTATCAGTAATTTTATTTCTATAGACCCAAACAAGAATTTGTAAACCGGTGAGAGGCGCTGCTATCGCGATTGAATCTGTCATAACATATATGTTGTCTTTTTATACATAGAAAATGACTATAAGCACGATCTTGTGACATTTTTTGACGTTGACAAGGGGGGCGCTAGTGGGCTGACATAATTAATTTGATTTATGCCAGGTTCAGATAGCCTCGGTGGTCTAAAGATAGTTTCTCTAAATCTTTCTTCTTTTTTCTTGTGATTAGGTATCAGAGTAGTAATTTTGCTATTATACAGTTTTTTTTTAATTTTATCATGACTACTATATTTAAGCTCAGCTTTATGATGTTAAATGTAACAGGGTACCGGTTGGTGGAAGTACGAGTTTTGTTACGGAGAACACGTGGTACAGTACCACGTGGACAGAACTGGAGAGAAGACCACGTTACTGTTGGGGAAATTCAACGAGGAGGCACATCTAGAGTGGATCAAGGAGAATAGAGGCAAAGCGCCTAAACCAGTTGGTAAGTTATTTTTTGTCTTCTTATTTATCATATTACGGTGGCCCTTTTAAGCCTCTTTCTTGTCTAAAGATTTTTTCATGTTGTAAAGTGGCGAACAAGCAACCGATTCCTTGAATTCGCCGAAATAGCGAAACGAACGCTGGCTATAGACATCGTTATCGACATACCTTTAGGAGGAGATGCACAGAAAGACAATATCGCCCTTTCCTATGAGTTCGCCCCCCTTTGTCAAAATTCACTTCCCCTTCCGATCCTTTTGTTATAAGAAAATAGTGGGAGTGGAAAGGGGACTAAATTAGGCCTCCGGCACGCACACTCATAATACGAAACGCGGAATTACTACCACTTCACGAAGCTGTGAAATTATTGGACAATTTTTATTAAAGCCTTTGATCAGGTCGACCATGTGATTTATAAATTATGCAGTTATATTTGATATTCTAGCATTAATTGCTGTTTACTATTTGATGATAATGAGAAAATTTTCTAATAATAAACAAATTTAAATTACATATTTCATGAAACGCATAATTTTGGTCTGGAGTTCCCCAAGGGTCATATCTAGGTCCCGTGCATCTATTAAAACAAAGTTGTTTATAATTTCTAGATGTTCGTACTTCTGTCACACATTTCTATTCCGGGGGCGATGTTTGCGATAAAACTGATAAGCCTAGACAGACTGAAGTGAAATTAAAATGTCTAGAAAATTCTTCGAGTCCGGCCCAAGTGTCCCTTTACCTTCTCGAACCGAGGACGTGTCATTACATACTTGGTGTTGAATCCCCCATTATATGTGATATACTGCCTTTTGCGGATGAAAATGGTCTCATTAAAACCACGAAGATGAAGTCGGCGGAGTCAAAAATCAAAGAAACAAAGGTGTCTGAAGATAGTGATGTCAAGGATAAAGTTGTCGATAAGTTTGGTTATGATTAAATAATAAATTATTTTATTTGAAGATTATTATTGTTTAATTTCATTTCAAACCCCTTGCAATGCCAATATATTCTTCATTATTGATATTTTTAAATTTACCATTAGCTTCCATTGCCGAAATACCGAAACAAAATGAGTCTGTGGTCTCACTCTCTTTGAAAAAAACCACAGAAATAACTATATTTTTGTACACCAATAAATACCTAGCTTGTTAGGATAAGGTTTCAAATAAAAATCACATTTTAACTTGACATTTATTTACATTTATATCAACAAAACGGGTGTTGTATAAAACAGTTCTTTCGTATTAATTTTTATTCCAATTGTATACCTACTAAATAAAGGTGCTTCGAAACAGTGTAAAAATAAATTTGCGTCTGTATTTAGGATATGCTGGTACCGTGACTCTATAGTTTCCTTTGTATTCACTAGCTCACTAGCGCTCACAGATAAAGAAATTAAAAGCAAACAAAAGTCAAAGCGTATCTATGCACTGACTGCAATCAAAAGAGATGATCGGTGTTTAATAAAATATCGACGGAATTGTTAGATTTACTATAACATTGTAAAAAATATTGCAACGACATCTCAAAAATATTGCAACTCTAATGTTATAGCTCATTTAAAAAAAAAGTTTTTACATGTGTATTTAAAATTTCATGCAATTACGATAACGCTAAAGAAATTTACTTTTTTAATTCAAATATATACAGAATATAAATTCATTAATAACACAATATAATTTGCAACATCGATCATCCTTCTATCTGTTCGAATATGAAAGTTTGAATTTTGTCATTTTTTCCTTTTACTTAACCGTACCATAGATAATAAAATGGGTACTTTTGTCTATTGTGTAGTCACTTTTAGCTTTTTAATTTTTTGACGCAATTCAATAGCCTTTAATTTAGCCTACCTAAACTAGTCTCATACGGACAAAATATAAAAAGAAGTGATCTTTTTAGAAAAATTTTGAGCTTCACAAAATTTATCACATAGCATTATGTTGCCAATTAATACTTCTTCAAATGAAGAAAGTGTCATTTTAGGATATGTCCACTTTAATAAGATATTTCTGTCCTGATGTTTTTTTTATCATTATCGTCCGATTTTTGGATTTTTTCCAATTAAATTTTATTATACAAATTAATGTGGACATATACTGTATTTCAAATCTGTACGATGTAACCGTGCGTTTCTTTTGTCAAAACTACACAAAAACATATACTTGTCTCTTTCTTTTTCACAGAGAACAAGAGAGAGATAATAAATTGCTTTTGTACAGCTGTTTTGACGCTTGAAACCCACCTTAAGGGAGTCTAATTCACAACAACAATGACGTTTCTAATTCGAGTTACCTACAAATCTTAGGTACAAAAAATCTTTACTATACATTTTTATTATGTTCACACCTTAACAAATTTTTAGTATGGTTGTGTCTAGGATCATTATCTGTCCGTATATTTCTTTATATTGAATTACCATATTTATTAATAAAAAAATAACAACTAGATTGGTTTTGAAATCTATAATAAATTTGCACATTAAAATATTGAAGTATCTCCCGAGCTTATTTTGGTTTTAATGGACGCGGATCGTGTCTTAACAAAAATGGTAATTCAATTATAGGTTATAAAATCACAAGGAATCCCCTTTGAATTTGTTTCATAAATGAAGACACCAACTGGACTCGTGTCAGGCAGGCAACAAAAGGAATTACAAGAAAATATTTATACACCTGTTACACATCTAAGAAACGGAACTTATTCAGTCTAAATATTGTCTTTCTTTAGACAAAAAAGTGACTAAAAATTAAATTAATAATAAGCCCATTTCATTTTAATACTCAACTAAATTTAATTAAGTTACAATAAACTTTCACTATGTTACTAATAGACAAAAAAATAACTAGGCGTCTCTGCAAGCGACAAGTATTATGTTTTTAAATATTTTTTTTCAGAATGGCAACATTATGCCGATGCACTTAAGATTTTATCTGTGTAAAACTAACAGTATTGCCTATTAAAATAAATAGAATAACACTTACGTTAAAGTAAACATGCAATAAAAAATGTTTAATGTCTGCAATCTTCCGAATTGTTCCTATATTTTTTTTTGATTAAATAAATAACGAACAGGGACATATAATACTAAAAAGTAATAAAAACTTTAAATTTTCACATGGGTCGAGTTTGTTTATATAAATCTATTTAACAAACTGTTATATAAGATTTGTAAACATTAAGTCGAACCAACCATAAAAAAAACTCACAATATATCGATGTTTTGGAGCTATGCATACTTATGAATTACAAAGGAAAAGAATATATTTTAAGAATGAATAACTTACATGCAAAATAGTCTATAACAAATACTTAATCTAAAAAAAAATTTGACTAAACCGACGATGGTAAAAGATATGTAATTTTTTTTTCACCTGAAACACATTTTGTTTGTCAAATAGTTTAAGCGCCATCTATGAACATGTTGTGAAAAGTAATTTTCTTTAATCATGAAAAAAGCGCAGTTTGTTTAAAGTCAATTAATATTTATTAAAATTTAAGTCATAAAGGATTGTGCTTATTTTCGACATGTGCCTTAAAATATACTATATTTTAATACATTGTTGTAGTAAACTGACACTTTTTGTATGGGAATTTACGAAATATACGAAAGAATATTCCTTAAGCATATTAAAAACTTAATAAAAAATGTTTAACACAAACTGAACAGAAACATATTAAGCCTAACAGACATAGTTAAGTACGCTATTGACAACCTGGTAAATAATAAATACACTGATCGCTTTGAGATCACCTTTAAATACCATCTAATACATTGTTTTAAACAAAAATGACAAAGAGCAAATGATAATGGCCTCAAATTTATCTATTTCTCATTTACACATCTGGTAACATAAGCTACTATGAAAAATGAAGATATATCCCGTTTCGTATATTAAATAAATATAAAAAAAACTAACCCAGTTAGTTCTTTACATAAGCTTTGGATGATAAAATACGTCTCTTATTTTACAATATGACACTTTACTCTTTGATAGTTATAAATCGCTTTTAAAAATAACATTTATACCAGCTCTTTGGCGTTCGCAAATCGCTATTGTTTTTAAACGCATTCAACTTACGCTTAAAGTGACTAAAAACTTATAATCTTTAAAATAATAATTATTATATTAATAAATGAATTTGGGGAATACTTTGGAAACGATAAATCCTTTGACACAAACCTTAACCTTTATACTTATTAAATAACAACTGTGCACGTGGACTCGCGTTTTCGAACGAAACGGACTTATGAGCTAGCGTCAGTTCGAGTGCACCGGATACATCACAACAAACGTTCAAAAACTTACAACCTCTTTGCATAGTTTATATTTTTTGTTATCTCTTTTTTATAAATTCACTAGGAACAAGTTCTGGAATATTCTAGTACGGTCTCGATAGTTCTTTAGAACGTTTCAATTGAACTTTAAGTCTCTTTGTACCTATTTGGAAGCCGTTCATGGCTTGTATGGCGGCCTGCGCGGAGGCGGCGTTGTCGTACGAGACGAACCCGAAGCACTTTGACAGGTTGGTCTGCTTGTCTATGAACACTTTGGCCGATATCACGTGGCCGAATGGCAGGAACGTGGACGCCAGGTCCGTGTCGGTGAACTCCTGCGGCAGGTGATAGATGAACAAGTTTCCACCTTCTGGACCTAAGAAATATCAAGAATATATTTATTAATACATGCCATACATAAAGAACACTTAACCTACAATTAAATAAAACATAAAAACAGCAGCTATAAAAGAAATCCAAACAAAAAGATTTTCTAGTATAACGTGGAGATAGGTTATGTAGAAAAAGGAAACGGCACAAGGAAGGGATGGGAAGTAAATTCTCCGCCACTTTACGACTGATTTGATAATATTATAAACAGTTCTTACGTGTTCTGCTTGTGTGTGCGGATATGGGGCGCTGGTGAAGACGGGGAGGGAGTGGGGTGTGGGCGTCTTACCTTCGACTTGCTTACCGGCAGCGGCGGCGGCGGCCGAGCCGAGCACGGAGCCGAGCGGTGCGGCTGCGAACGCTGACCCGAACTGCGCTGCGTACGCCGAACTTAGTGGTTCCGCTGTCGACCCTGAGGAACATAGCACACATATAAATAGTCCTCTCATATACGAAAAAATGCTTATATGCCCTACTAGGATCTCCATTTGTTTTAGTTGATTTCGATTTTACTATATCTGATAACAAGATTAATCAAAAGTATTCATCTCGCCGTACTACGGCGTACGTTATAAAACGTCATTCAGAAATGAGCACAAAAGGGGGGAATTAGGAGAAAACACGAGCCTGCGTGTAAAATGGTTCTAATTGTTTTACTAATTTGATCGGTTTTAATTATAAAAATAACTGATAGGTAATTGGGCAGAAAGTCGTTGTCGTTACTTCAAGTAGGTAAATCGCCGTAGTTTTTTCGTTTTATATAATCACCTCAATTATTTTATTTGTAATTTAATTAGTTTAAATAATAATGAGAAAAACATTGTTCTGTGTGTTTAGTAGAGTTGTGTTTAAAATATCTGATCAGCATTGCAATCAGACATTCTAAACAATTAGTTTTTTATTGCGTTAATTAATTCCTATAAGCGTAATACTTGCAACGTAACTACTATATGTCTGTCCATATTTTTTTCACAAGCTTGATATTTTCTGAATATTGTTTTCTCAAAAATTTCAGATATTAAAATTATGAACATGATTGGTTTCTTTAGTTTAAGATGTTCTTTAAATTATTTTCCACTAAATAAATTCACATGCGAATATCTAACTAAAAGACTAACTATGTTTACTACAATAATCTAGTCAACTTATATAAAAACGGCTAAACACTCACGTATATTCGTCCGGTGGCGGCACCGACTAGTTTCGAGTCCATCGGGGGCCCTTCATTAGGATGAGTGGTACTGGTATTATTTCGCGGACGCGGCCC